CATTTGTTTGATTGTTTATGATGAAATCTTAACTAGAAGAATATAAATGTAGTGAGATTATGAGAATTGAGAATTGGATGAATTAAAATTGTAACTAATAAACTGTAAAAATTGAATTGATATTGTATATTTTGCAGCACAAGAGAGCAAAAACTCTATAATTGATATAATAAAAGAGAGTTGAGAGAGTTAGAGACTTGGAATAAATTGAGTAATTGATATGAAAAAATAAAGGGGGGTTAAGGTGTATTTATAATAGAGGGGGGGGGGGGGAATTAAATAAAATAAAAATAATTTCAGTAACCGGAATGGTCACCGAAAAAATTCAATGACCAAACGGTCACTGAAAAAGTGACAAAAATGGTCACTTTTTTTTTTAAAAAAGTGTTCGTTTTGGTCACTTTATTAAGGGCTCATGACGAGCCACGAGCCGCCATGAGCAGCTCGCCCTGGCGAGGCTCGCTAGGCTAGCCGAGCTGGGTGAGGCCCGCTTGGCTTGTGATTTTACGAGCCCGAGCCGCCCACGAGCCCCATTTTCACGTCGTCGGCTCGGCTCTTTTGACATTCCTAATGTTAGGAATTCTTTGGTTATAAATATGTGGTGTAAAACACATTAACATTGACCTATTTTTCAATTAATTATTGATCCATAGAGATCTTTTGTAACTCCTTATTATTGATTATAGTGAATTCTCGTCCTTGCTCTTGTTTTTCTCGAATTTGGATTTCCATGTAAATTTTGTTTTCTTTGTGATCTATTATTTTCATATTACCCATATTTTCTCATTTTTTAATTATTTAGCCAAATTCTAAACAAATTGGTATCAGGGATGTTTCACTTTTTATAAAGTGGTTTCAGATCTGATTCGGATTATAATAAGTGGTATCAAATCGATTCTAGTATCTTGTTTGTTCATTATAGTGAATGTAAAAAACTCCACTGAGACATCATTTTAGGAATCTATAATCCATAATGGGGAGATTCATGAACAATGTACACCAACCAGAATGTACACCAACCAGGATTGGCATGACCTATTTAGTGTTGAGGAATACAGAGTCAATTAATGGAAGCAAAAGAGAGCAAAATCTTTTGCCTCCACATTTACAAGATGGGACAAGTCCTATTTCTTTATCCCAACCAAATCTTATATTAATTTTGAATTTTGGTCCCTGTACGGAATGATTGATCAATCAATTTTTTGATGGCCATTTTAGTTCCCTTATTGTTTGATCTGGTGAAGGCTACTCTAATAACTCCATTCTTGATGATGCACTTTGCAGAAAATTGATTCATTAGTATTCTTTTTCTTGTAATCTGAAATCAAGACTTGTTTGTGTTGGATAGTATTAGACTAAAACCTGTTTGTTTCCCATTTTTCAGTCAGAATACATTTTGAAATAGTTAATTGATGAAAAATGTGTGGTTAAGAAATAAGAAAAAGTTTTAGTTTTGCGTGTAATATAATTTTATTGAAGAATGTGTAGTTAAAAAAAAGAGAGAAAAATGGGTATCAAACAAGGGCTAAATACTTTTTGAAGACATCTAGTGTCCATTAAACTCTTTACCGAATCTATTGAAAAATGACTAAACATTGGAATGTAAACAAGGTAAGAATTTGGATCTAAATCATACAATAAATTTGAGCACAACCAGATACATTAAACTTGAATTTGCAATCTATAATGGCTCTAAGTACAAGGTTGGTGGTGTAACAATTTTATCAAGAATGCCACAATGTAAGCACAGCAAGAAACAATTACAAGTACAAATCACCTTTAAAAAAAAGAGACCATCAAGATTATCTCAATGTCCACGAGCCCATCTTTTTTGTACTTTTTATTAGGTTTAATACCTCAAAATTGGGTTGAAATCTTGGAAGATCATATTTGGCTTGAATTTGGAAAGAAATCAAATTACATCCAAGATTTTTTCCTTTTACGCGGTTTAACCTAATTTTAGTATATTTTCTTACCTTTTATGACTTCATTAGATTTACGGACGTGGCCTATAAATTAGAGACTCCTTTGTCAGTTTAGATAAAGCAATATTATTCCTGTATTATTCTTTCCATATTGTCGGTTTAATAAAATTCACCGTTCCTTTGCTTAGTTTCTCTTTTTCTATTTTACTTTAATCTTGTTTTCATGGTGCGATCTTGAATATTTCATTATTGCCATTAAATCTCAATCTTGTATCGCCTTTGGGTAGGGATGTCAACGATCCGAGCCAAAATTCTAGGCTCAGGCTCGGCTCGGGTAAAATATCCGAACTTTTTTCCTGGCCCAAGTCGAGCCAAGCCGAGCAAAAGTTCGGCAAAAAAATTAGGCTCGGCCCGAGCCGAGCCGGGTCGGCTTGGGTTTTGTTTGGTTTTGAAATTTTTTTTATTTTATTAAATAAAATGGCAGTAGGTTGCGGCCTTGTTTGGCAGCAACCTGCTGCCCTATTTCTGGCAGCAGCACGCTACCTTAAAAGCCAGTGTGCTGCCTTTTATTTTTTATTTTTTTAATTTTAATTTTTTTTAAATATATGCTTCGAACCGACGATCCACGCTGGTTGGCTTGAGCTTTGCCCAACACCTAAAAATGAGGCTCGGCTCGAGCCTCGAGCCGGGCGGGTTCGAGTTTTTTTCGAGCCAAGCCACGGGCGGCCCGAGCCGGCGAGCTCGATTGCCATCCCTACATTTGGGATTAACAAGTGGTATCAGAGCATAGGTTGCAGGTTTTTCGTGATTTGGTTGAGATTTTCAAGGATGAATTCATTGAAGTATGAAATTCCGCTGCTAGATCGCAATACAAGATTTTCGCTGTGGCAAGTAAAGGTGAGGGCTGCGTTGACGCAGATGGATTTTGATGATGCTTTGCTGGATTTTGACATGATGCCAGTAAATTTGTCTATGGAGGATAAACAACGGAGGAATCGAAAGGCTTTAGCGTCGATTCATCTTCAATTATCCAATAATATTCTACAAGATGTCTTGAATGAGAAGACGGCGGCTGCTTGTGGTTCAAGCTAAAGTAGTTGTGTATGACAAAGAGTCTGACGAGCAAACTGACTCTAAAGCAGAAGCTGTGTTCCCATCATATGGTGGAAGGAGGATCACTGCAGGACCATCTTGCTGTGTTCAAGGAGATTGTTGCAGATTTGGAGACGTTGGAGGTAAAATATGATGAAGATGATCTGTCCTTGATCCTGTTGTGTTCGCTACCCAGTTCATTTTCGTCGTTTTGTGATACTATATTGTATAGTCGGGACGCGCTGACCATTGAAGAGGTGTATGACTCCCTGTTCTCAAAGGAGAAGATAGAGATGTTGGTTGGAGATCCTACATCTAGGGGTGGAGATGCTCTGGTTACTCATGGTGATCGATGGAGGGATAGATTGAAGGTGAGGTACAACAATGTGTATTATTATTACTGCAGGAGGAAACGACACATTAAGAAAGATTGTGACAAGTTGCAGGGTAAAGGTGATTTACATGCAAATCATGCGAGACAATCAGGTAATGAGACCAACATTGTTGAGAATTTTTTGGATGGCGGAGATGTAAGGGAATCTAAACCTGGGGAGTGCATTTTGGATTCCGCATGTTTGTATCATATATGTCCCAATAGGGATTTGTTTCAAACATATGAGACGGTGAAGCAAGGTGGAGTTATCATCAATCTAGTCGGGTTATAGGAATCGGTCGAGTTAGATTGAGGCTAAGATGGGACAGTGGGGACACCTGATCAGGTTTGCCATATTCTAGACTTGACAAAGAATCTCATATCGCTGAGTACCTTGGATGCAAAAGGGTATAAATTCTCTAGTAAGGGTGGAGTCTTGAAGGTTCGAAGGGTTGTCCGGGTAGTACTGGAGGGACGGAAGAGATCTCAATTGTACATATTGTAGGGAAGCGCAGAACCAATTAAGAAACATTTGGACAAGTTCAGTATCGTGGTGGAAGTTCAGTTTGGTACAATACCTCTTGTGGCGAGCTCTGAATTGGTTAAGAACACTGCTAGGAAGAGCGTTGGTGATTCCGCTTTGCCACCAATTTCAGCGGATTCACAGTGTTCAATTGCTGGGGTTGGACTCATGGAGCGTAGGTACGGTGGTGTCACTAATGTCTGAAATGCTTTAGGGGACGTTAAAGTTGACAGTTCTAGCAAGGGGCCTTCTGATCCAGCATGTGATATGGTTTTTGCTACATGGTGTGCTTCAACCTTGTTTGGTCAACAGTAATTCCTCGGTCGAATTTTGGGAACCTGGGATTTGGGTTTGGGTGTCGCTTGTGGATTCCGTGCAAAGGATATGATGGTTTGGTGATGGACATTTTGGTTACTGTATTGAGGAGATTGGTCAGTTCATTTCGAAATAGACGGATTTGAAATTTTGGAGTTTTTTTAGTTGCACCAAAATTTTGAGTCAAGGTGAAGATTGTTAAGTTTAATGCCTCAAAATTGGGTTGAAATCTTGGAAGATCACGTTTGGCTTGAATTTGAAAATAAATCAAATTACATCCAAAGATTTTTTCTTTTTACGAGGTTTAACCTATTTCTAGTATATTTTCTTATCTTTTAGGACTCCATTAGATTTATGGACTTGGCCTATAAATTAGAGACTCATTTGTCAGTTTTAGATGAAGCATTATTGTTGTCCTGTATTATTCTCTCCATATTGTGGGATTTAATAAAATTCATCGTTCCTCTGCTTAGTTTCTCTTTTTCTACTTTACTTTAATCTTTTCGTGGTGCAATCTTAAATATTTCATTATTGCCATTAAATCTCAATCTTGTATCGCCTTTGGGATCAACACTTTTCTCTTGCTGCCTCACAATTTCCTAACGCCATGGAGAAATTTTAACTGTTGAGAAACTGAGGATTTCATAGTAGAATTTGTGTTGAAACAAATAGAATCAAGAAAGGAAAAAAGCTTACATTATAATCCTCGACAGTTGGTACAGATGAAAATAAAAAATTTGAATTGAAAACACCATTTCTTCCCCCATAAAGTCTATCCAGTAAAAGACTCTTCACTACTGAAAGAACTTGAAGCCAAAGGTGGAGGCAGACATGTTGAAGACGAAGGCACAACTTGATTATTAGCAATATCATCATCTTCTTCATTATTATGTTCTTCCTCCTCCTCTTCCTTGTCTTTATCGTCATCATAATCCTCATCTTCAAAATCTACAATTTCGAGATCATGGTCTCCATCAGTATTATTCCAATTGCTTCTGCTAGAACAGGAGTCGGAAAGAGAAACCTTCCGCCTAAGTCGGGGATTGGAACCGGTCCATAGACTCGGAAGTTGACAAGCATGGCATAAAAGATTTCTTGAATGCTTAGCTATGAGAAAGTTTGCTGTTTGAACTTTGAACCTTGGCATCACAATCCTAGCACAGGCTTGCTTGATCGAATTCATAGTACATTGTTGCTGTCTACTTGCATAACTCACATTTCTTCATTTTCCTCACTTTTTTTGGGGTAAAAAGGAGGTTATACGACAAATATGAAATATTGATTACAACAAAATAAACACAAAGACAAGAATTTAATTTAGCATAAGAATTGCAGATTTTATTCAACTATAATGGAGATTATTCTAACTTCTATAACAAACCAACTTATAAAGAACAGCCAACTATATATAGGAGACATGTCAAAACCCTAACAATATTCTTAAGATGGAAATATATAAAAAATACATGGAATAAATAAAACAATATTTTTTTCAATAAATAACCAACTGAATTTGGATCACAAAACCAACTACTTTCACACACACATACACACACAAATCTTATATGTGAAACCTTTTTATTACCGTAGATTACTTTATTAGTTAGAGTATCATGTGTCAATTCCTAGGTTATATTGTATATATTTTGGTCTCCTGATATTCCGGCTAAAAAATAAAAAAGAAGATGAAATACTGAACAACGATTTTATTTTTTTTAACTCGACTTAATTGCCATTTTTGGGCGAATTAAGCTAGTTGTACAACTAGTTTGACGCCTTTTGAGGTGTCAAAATTGAAGCCATTAATTTGAATAAGTGTTACGTGTTGTCATACTTGGCCAACCGACGTGGGCCTATGGCCCACTCAATCCGAACCACGTGGCATTCTAGCCGAAGTGGGCTAAATAGCCGACGTCCTTTATACCGAGGCCCATATGCCGAAGCTAGTGAAACTAACCGACCCTCATCTGCCAAGGCCTGTGAAGATTGCCGAAACCCTACAGCGGAAGTACTACGTGTCTAGCAGAAGCCTCCGAACCATGAAGGGATGTTTTCCATGGTCACTTCTCCCAAGAGATCTCCTACATAAGGATCTGGTTAGAATGATTGATGGAACGTTTGTCATAAGTGTATATGTTAGGTCTTATCACTAGCATGGGGGCTCTGCACAAGCAATAAATGCGCAGCAAGCTAGCAAGTCAAGAGTGATACCTAGGATTGGATGTTTGAATTGAGAAGATGAGGCCACGTGTCACCTCATCTAAGGGCTGCCATTTCACATGTAACACTATAAATACTTCCCTTGTGTAACATCGAAAGGCTAATGCAAGAATCAATACAAGAAACCACACTTTACTCTCTCTTTCATATTATCTTACAACACAATACGAGTTCACACATATTTACATTCACATTCATGAGCACCGATTGATAATGATTGTACAATCGGATTACGAACATCCCGTCGAATTCTGAACGTTCTCGTCCCGCATCGTTGAGCTACTCCTACGCTTCTGATTCTTTCATTCTAGACCGTCCACGTGTCTTAACGTGTAGAACCTTCGCTTACGTGTGCGCAGGTGGATCCGGCATCTGTTGGCAACACCTTTCGGGGTCAACAGATTGGCGCCGTCTGTGGGAAACCATACCAGAACCACGAACAAACTTGTGGTGGAAGCTTATTGAAGAACATTTGGGCAACCCCCTTTGAAAAAGGATTTGTTCTTGAAAAAGAACAAGAGGAAGCCCCACAACTTAGCAAAATCTGAAGTCAGGCGAAAATAAAATGAGTTCAAACGAAGACACACCCCCTAGGAGGGTAAGAGAAAACGCAAATGTGCCTCCCCCACCCGTTGCACCAGCAGCCTGGCAAAGACTCCACCACCACCAAAGAAGAGGTGGAATGCAGGTAATGGCCCGACTGTCGAGAGAAATGGCTGTCATGGCGGTCAACATGAGAGACATTGCTAGCTAAAACTTGACTATGAGGGAACTCATGGCTCAAATGCTAGGCCAGGGGAGCTTCCCTGTTCCTCCATACGCCCTTCAGGGGTACAACCAGCAAGAAGACGAAATTCAAAGTCATAGAACTGCCTCGCCGGACTATAGCCGAGGTAGAAGCCCGTTTGAAAGGGAAGTGGAAGTTGATGTTTCCTCCAACTACGCTTCTGGTCGACCCACCGAGGTCCCATTGAACCATGATAACTTCCCACCTCCATATGACCAAGAGTCAAGACATAGGAGGGCAGACAGTGTATTTGACAGAATCAGCCCTGCTGAACCGAGGCTTAGGCAACAATAGACATATCAGCCTTGGACAAGACCACAGCCTCGGACAAGACCATAACCTCTACCTCCGATGCCCTAGCAACGGGAAGAAAGGCATGAAAATGTCCCCCGTGTTGCTTCGCCTAGAAATAGGCACTAGAGGAGGGAGGAAGAGGCTAGGAACCGTCTCGGGACCTCTCACCAACAACCACGGTAAGAGGCCGAGGAATATGATTCAGATGAACAGCAGAGGTCCTGTGACTTGGACGATGATGATGGGAATCTGCCGTTCTCAAAGGAGCTAAGAAATGCCCAGGTTCCAAGTCACTATGTAATGTCAAAGATACCAAAGTATGACGGAAGAGGCGACCCGGAGAAGCACCTGAATGCTTATAAAACCCACATGAGCCTAAAGGGTGCCACCCCAGCTGTGAAGTGCAGAGCTTTCCATTTAACATTTAGTGGAGTGGCTGAAATATAGTATAGCAGGTTGCCATCGGGGAGCATAAGAAGCTGGCCCGAGTTCAAGACAACATTCTTGAAGAGGTTCGCGGTAAGCAAAGAAGGAGAAGCCCCCATCCAGCGTCTCCAAGACATGAGACAAGCACATGGGGAATCCCTAAAGAGCTTCCTTTCTCGCTTCATAGACGAAATTACGTATTGCGTGCAAGTCACTGACCGTGAGGCACTATCCACTTTAAGGGGAGGCTTGAACATGAATACCTTATTCTGGAGGGACGTGCAAATCAAGATCCCACCACCTATGATGCTCTACTCGAGATGATGAGGCGGGAAATCATCAATGAAGAATTGATTGAGCATAGAAACAGGGCAAGTAGAGGCCTTCCACCTCCTCAGAGGCAGCGTGCTAAAGGGCTGACTTTCCACCTGATGGACTACCATATGAACCAGGCTGGAAATGAGAGTTCTGGCCAAGCACTTGCCACCACCACATTGAACGCGGTTCCTACCTTAGCGTATGAGGATATCAACCCAGTTACTGGCACCTAGCAGACGGAAACCCCACAAGGATCCATAGGGGGAGAGGCCGACACCGGGGTTCGGGACCTAGAAATAGGTCGAATTAGAACCCACCATATACTGTGTACACCACACGTCCTATGGACACGACACGACAGATTGCCGAGACTTTGCGCACCGCTCCAGGACGGAACCCCCCAGGCACAGAAATGAATCGTCCCAAGCAAACAGGCCCCCGCCCAGACATGACAACCAACGTGGGTACGAGGAGGCCGCTCCTCGTCAAAGGGATGTTTCTCCACGACAAAGGGAGCGTGATATGGAGAGGCCCAGAGAAGGGCACAGGCACCGAAGAAACCGACAAGTCCATGATGAGGCTCCTATCCATGAGATAGATACCATATTTGGGGGCTCGTATGTTGGCGGTGAAACACGAAACGCCAAAAGGAATTATGCCCGGGAGGCTAAACACCCCCCTTTGACAAGTTACATTGTGGATAACAGCTCCCGGAGGAACCAAGTTCCACCCATTATCTTCACTTAAGAAGACGCCGAAGGATTTCACTTTCCCCATTACGATGCACTTGTTGTGAGGGCCGTCATAACCCGAAATGGGCTTAAGCGAATGTTAATTGACAACGGTAGCTCTGTCAATATTCTATTTGGATCTGCCTTCGACAAGATATTGGATCATCAGTTGACACCCACTACAACTCCTCTGTACGGATTCACCAGAGATAGCATCACTCTAAGGGGAAAGATAACACTTGCAGTGGAGATGGGAGAGTCTTCCCAAACTACGATGAACTTCATGGAGTTCCTCATTGTCGATAATCGATCGGCTTACCATGGAGTATTAGGTAGGCCAGCTCTAAAGGAATTGGGAGTAGTCACCTCCATCCACCACCTATACATGAAAATCCTGGCGAAAAATGGGGTAGCAATGGTGAGAGGTGACCAAAGAGGGTCGCGAGAGTGCTATCTAAGCTCCATAAAAAAGGTAGAGCCCCGGGATGTCCATATAATCATAGCCGATATAGTCATGGATGACGTCCCAGGTGATGCTCCCACTAGAAGATATCGATATGATAGATGCACCATCCAATCCGGAGGTCTTGGTCATTGACGAGATTGATCCCTGCATAATTGAACACGAACCTCAAGCATCTCCAGTCGAAGAACTTGAGAACTTCTCGGTGGACCCTCGAGACCCATCCAAGATGCTGAGAGTAGGCAAGGGCTTATCCAACATTCTGAAAGAAAAGATTTAAGATTTCCTAAGCAATAACCTTGATGTCTTTGCTTGGAAGCATGAGTACATGGTAGGCATGGACCCCAAGGTCAGTTGCCACCACCTGAAGGTCGATCCTAAGGTTGTCCCACACAGGCAAAAAAGGATAACCCTCAATCCTGAAATGTACGAAGCTCTGAAGGAAGAGGTTCAGAAACTCATCCAAAATGGCTTTATCAGGGAAGCTACCTATTCGACGTGGGTCTCCAACCCAGTTTTGGTAAAGAAACACAATGGCAAGTGGAGGGTGTGCATTGATTTTACCAACCTCAACAGAGCTTGCCCGAAAGACAGCTTTGCTCTCCCAAGGATTGACCAACTAGTAGACTCCACGGCTGGACACAAGTTGTTGAGCTTCATGGACGCATACTCCTGCTACAACCAAATACCTATGCTCCCGGCCGATGAGGAGCACACTTTTTTCATCACAGATCGAGGTCTCTATTGTTATAGGATGATGCCCTTCGGGTTGAAAAATGCCGGAGCAACTTATCAAAGGCTCGTCAACAAAATGTTTATGGACCTCATCGGCAAGACGATGGAGGTATACATGGATGACATGTTGGTAAAAAGTCTGGAGGCTGAGGACCACATAACGCACCTTAACAGCACATTCCAGATCTTGAGAAGATATAGGATGAGGC